ATATTGGCTTCAAAAAGATAATACTGATCATGGCAATAAATTGCCAAACGTGTGAGCCTAATTAAAGTCAATAGCATGAAAAATGAGACCCTCACACTGTCTCATAGCTTGGGGCCTGTAAAACTCGTCAAAATATATGTGTTGCAATGAAGGCATTTACTTGGTGACTATATTTATTGTTCAATCTGTCCCACTTTTTCTTCCATCCTCCCTGAAGTTAAAGAAAGAGGAGAAAACACACTTAAATTACACCTTTCACCATTTGGATTAGAAATATGGTTTCCCTGTGCTTTCTTCATGGACTCTCAGAGTCTAGCTAGTTGAAGAGAATAAGGTATAGGAACAGACACTCGATCACTTCACGCCTATAAGCACACAGAGAAACTGAAGAAAAACACTGGTGTTGATGGCCTGCAGGTGAACCCCTCCTGTGGCGCTGGTCATTTTCTAAATGTTGGCTTTTGCTCCTCACTCTTGATTTATTTTGACCCATTTCTTTCATCTGATCTCTTCTCTTTGCAAGCACTGGGGTTGTTAAAGGTTTGTGTACGTGTTTCGGGACAAGTCGTGAATACATGAGCTAAATTAGCGAGCTTTGGGGGGAATACACCAACAAAGTTCAAAGGGAAGAGAAAACAATAGAGACTATTTTAGCATCCAGAAGGGAAATATCAAGCCCAGCCATGGTCCTTGCTAACAACCCTCTTCTGCTTTGTCTCAATGAAATATCACTGAAGACACTTTCCACCATTCAGTTTCCTGATACCATGAATGTATTGATCTAAGAACTTCTTATTGCTCATTACTTGTTCCAACATTGTAATTTTGTCTTTCTAATCACCAATCTTTTCTTGTTCTCTCTTTGAATTTTCTTCTTCTGTATTACCTAACTAAACGTGTCATCCATTTTAAATGCTCTTTTGTAAACTAAGATAGAAATCATGTGAGGGAGTAGAGTCCTGGCATAAACTAGGTAATCCTGGAGTTTCCAAATAACAATCCTTGACATTTGAATAGCAGTTTGCAGTTTGTAAGTACTTTCACATCCAACATCATCATCATCATATTATTATTATTTGAGGTAGGGTCTCAGTCTGTCTCACTCTGTCATCCAGGATGGAGTACAGTGGCACAATCATGACTCACCACAGCCTCGATCTCCTGGGCTCAGGTGATCTTTCCGTCTCAGCCTCCTGAGTAGCTAGGACTACAGGCGCATGCCACCACACCCAGCTAAGTTTTTTATTTTTTTGAATGACAGGTTCTCACTATGCTGCCCCAGTTGGTCTTAAACTCCTGAGCTCAAGCAGTCCTCCCACCTGGACCTACCAAAGTGCTGGGATTGCAGGTGTGAGCCACCGCCACCGGCCCCAATACATTATTTTATTCTCACCACAACACTATGAAACAGATAAGGCAGCCACTGGGGAAACTGAGCCCCAGGTATATTTGCCCAGGATCCTATAGTTGCCAGAGAATCCCTTCGCCCGGTGCCCTTTCTGCGATACTGGTTTCCCAGCATAATATGGCAGAATTTTCTGACAAAGTTTCAGCCTTTGTTCATCGATATGCTGCTGAAGGTCCAGGAGCAGAGACAGAATAGAACTATAAATTACTATGTCTAAGATCTTTATTTTACTTTCCCTGAACCTAAGAATTCTTATTTTGGGGGTAATAAATAAGGATTTGCTCAGATAAAAAATGACTTTAAACCTCTATTTATTTTTTGAAAAACACACACACAAACATGGCTGGAGTCAGTTGTTTGTGAAATAACACATTTCGTCAGTGTTACGACTGTAGCCCTCTCAAAATCTCGTTGTCTTTAAAGAAGACTGTCTTGTAGAAACAGAATGAAATTGTTGTTGTTGTTGTTGTTATTATTATTGGGTCTCACTCTGTCATCCAGACTAGAGTGCAGTGGCACAATCGTGACTCACCACAGCCTTGACCTCCTGGGCTCAGGCAGTCCTTCCATCTCAGCCTCCTAAGTAGCTAGGAATACAGGCGCCTGCCATCACACCCAGCTATGTTTTTTTTGGTTGTTGTTCCTAAAACAGGGAGATTGGAGGATTGGAGAGAAAGGACATGAAATTTCAGTTAGACAGAAGGACTAAGTTCAAGAGATCTATCTATAATCTTTGTAAGTGGCTGTAGTTATGAACAGTGTATTATATACTTGAAAATTTCTGAGAGTCCATTTTACATGCTCTCACCATAAAAAAAAAGTATATGAGGTAATGCATATGTCAAATCACTTGATTTAGCCGTTCCACAATGTCTGCATACATCACATTATATTACACACCATAAACATGTATCATTTATCCATTAATAATTAACTCTTTTAAAAAAAAAGGTTATTACCCTCATAAAAATTCACAGTGAGCTCACTGCACACGCTTTGCTAGCACAACTTCTAACCGTTCCCATTGTCACTGGTAGAATGCACAGAATCTGCTTACAGTGATCATGCTCTATGTTTACCAATAAGCAAAGTTTCCTGTAGAAAACGAAAATTTAGGAGGAAAAGAGAAACACAGCCATGCTCCCTGATCATCTTAACCCACCGCTTCTCACCAGGTCTACCCTGCAGTGCAGAGGTGCAAAACCTACTGGTCAACCCACAGGTATGGGCACATGCACACCAAGCCCAAGGCAGGATCTCAAGACTCAGGGTCAGGGTAGCAGAATGAGCCATTATACGGATAAATATAAGCCCAACTCTCCAGAGAGCCATGGCTCAAATACAGGCTTGAAAGACCTAGGTCTGCAGAAGTAAATAGGAAAATAATCTGGGATTTTAAATTGACAGCAGGTACATGGTGAGAGGGGACTCCCCTTAGGCCAACATGGCATCAGCCCTCCCGAATGGAAGTCATATGTCCTGAACAAGGAAGGCAAGCACTCTTTCCTAATATGACTTGACCAAACAATAGCTGATGACTCAGTTTACCTTGAGTTGTAGAGACAAAATAGATAAGACGGGAGGCATTCAGAGGAAAATAACCAAGTTGAGGAAACCATCCAGACCCTGCCAGACACATTGGGAATTAAATAAGTATTTGTTGAACAGCTGAAGGCACCAGGAATGAATATGAGGAATTGTGGTAGAAATTGGGCCCGCTTTCCTAGTAAGACCAGACTTGGGGAAACTCAGTAAAGGAATGGTACACTCAGGTCCTCTGAAGAACAGATGCTAAGACAGGCATAATGCATAAGGGTTTTATTAGGAGAAGTCTCTTTTGACTCCTTTGTCTGGGGAAAGGAGCTCCTACAGGCCTTTTATAACCTCCCACAGTTTCCTGCATCATGAACTTCACTCGATATCTCAGCAGCCCATCCACGCCAGGACAACACTGCTTAGATGCTGTGCCTATTATATCCCTACGGCAGTGGGTTTATAGCCCTGGTAGACTGAGTGTGGAACACAAAAAGACCCAACTCTGAAATAAAATTTTTTGTTGTTCATTACTTTATATCAACCATTCCTGCTCCTAAGATATTTGTGATTTTAATGTAATTACAATGCACTTTTCCCAGACTTTAACCACAAGGAACTTTCCAGAAATATGTCTCAGATTTAATCTGCAAGTTTTTATGTTGGTGACCATGGTTGGAAAGGCACAGAAATGAGGAAATGCAGTTCTCCATCTCCCTGTTTTCTCTAAACCCCAAGTCTCCCAAGCCATGTTCTTCAAATCACGTCTGTCACTATCTTGCCTCTTCCTTTCGATCCAACTCGGAGTCCTGTCTTGGATTCTGCCGCACCTCCTTTCTTGATGCCACCTCCCTGCCGGACTCTCCTCTTCACTGTCTTTAAACCACATTTATCCTAAATATCCCAGCATCTTCCACCTCTTCTCTAGTTCCAGGACTCCACTTTAGCGAAGCAATTAAATTCTCTTTTTGAATTCACCCTGTGTTCCCCTCTCAGACTAATCTCACCAAAGGTGGCACGGATCAACTGTGTGTTACACTCAACGATGACTCCCAATAATGAGTGCATTCGTTATAAGATTTGGGATCTGACCCCTTCATTTTATGTCCAAGACTTCCTTTCAAAAACTTGTTTCCCTTGACTCCTAAATAATTCAGATTGGTCATTTTGAGAATGTGCAGTGTGAGCCAAGTGCTACATGCTATGAGTGATTGCTAAGATAAAGACGTGGTTTACAATAGAATAAGGGCCATAAAACATGTACATGAGCAACTCTAATTTACGATGAAAAATAATCCTGTTTTGGGAAGCGGTAAACCCCAAGAGGGCTCTGAAAGGGACCATATTTCCGGTCTGAAGCATGACAACGACTCATCCAGAGATATTGTGCAATGAAAGTGCTTAGAATGGTGACTCGTGGGCAAAGACTAGGAGAGAAGGTCAGGGTGACCAATAGCTTCAAGTGTAAAAGCCTTTTATAGAGTAGTGAATTTGCAGTCCAGCCGGGCTGAATGCAGAACATAAAGCACAGTGGCGAGGAATTTGGTGAGGGTGGCAGGTTTGGACAAAATCCCAAAGAGCCTGGCAGCCATCTTCAGATGGAAGGAAACCAGTGAATGACACATCCTCATTCCCAGCTCAGAGGTTTTGCCCAGACTGTGCCTTGGACACTCCCCTTCTCCTCCCAGAGTATTATTGAATCATCAACACATTCTCCAAGTTGCTTTGCACTGTGGAGTCTTCACCACTGCACCAAGCAATGGCATGTGGTCAACCAGTCCAGGTTCGAATCCTAGTCCCGTTACTTCCTGGCTGCTTGACCTTGAGCAAGTTCATCTCTGAGCCTCAGTTTCCTTATCTGTTAAGCGAGGGCAATAACAGTAGCTTCCCATCTGGAACTGTGTGCCTTAAATGGGATCACTGTGCTCAAACAAAATAAATGGAAGGCATTATTTTCAGAGGTGCTGTTAAAAATATTTTACAAGAGCGAGTGGCATGACGTGAGGTTTGTGGATACCAAGTTTTCCGTTCTCATTGTATCCACAGTTGTACTGCAGAGATGGTCAAGGTACCTAAAACCCGAAGAGCTTTCTGTAAGAAGCGTGGCAAGAACCAACCTCACAAAATGATGCAGTATAAGAAGGGCAAGGATTCCCTGTATGCCCAGGAAAAGAGGTGCAGTGATCGGAAGCAGAGTGGCTATGGTGGGCAGACAAAACCAATTTTCCGAAAGGTCAGGACTACAAAGAAGATTTTACTAAGGCTGGAATGTATTGAGCCTAACTGCAGATCCAAGAAGATGTGGGCCATTAAGTGATGTAAGCATGTTGAACCAGGAGGAGATAAGAAGAGAAAGGGTCAAGTGATCCAGTTCTGAACTTTTGAGTTTTTTTTTCTTATTTGTTTGTTTTTTAGTTTTGAGGGGGAAATATTAAAGCTATAGAAAAATCACCTGGCCAGGTGCGGTGGCTCACGCCTATAATCCCAGAACTTTGGGAGACTGAGGTGAGAGGACTGCCTGAGCTCACAGGTTCAAGACCAGTCTGGGCAACTTGGCAAGACTTCATCTCTACAGTAAATCAAAAAATGACTGGGCGTGGTAGCAAGAGCCTGTAGTTCTAGCTACTTGGAAGGTTGAAGCGGAAGGATCACCTGAGCCCAACAGGTGGAGGCTGCAGTGACCGTGAACGTGCCACTGCACTCCAGCCTGGACGACAGAGTAAGACTTTAACTCAAAAAAAAAGAAAGAAAGAAATCAAAGAATCAATGCTCAGGAACACAGGCAAAGGGGTGATTGTTGTAACTTTCTCTAAAATGACAGACCTCCAACCTTCCTTCAAAACCTGGGTGACTGGGTGCAATGTGCTTCTCTGCAACTCAGGGATGAATGCAGTCAACAAAATCCATCATATATGAAAGATGCCTGTGATATGGTCATGTGACAAACAGCAAATTCATGAATAAAATGTTTAGTATGATGTGGTAGACAAAAAGAATGCATATACATACATGGACATCTATACATACATATACATATATACACACTTGGTTCATTTTTTTTTACTATTTTGAGTTTTTATTTTTATTTATTTATTGTTTTTGAGTTGGAGTCTCACTCTGTCGCCCAGACTGGAGTGCCGTGGCTCCCGGCCACCGCAGCCTCAACCTGCTGGGCTCCGGCGATCCTTCCGCCTCAGCCTTCCGAGTAGCTGGAATTACAGGCACACGCTACCATGTCCGGCTGATTTTTTAATTTATGGTAGAGATGAGGTCTCGCTGCCCAGGCGGGTCTCGAACCCGCGGGCTCAGGCAATCCACTCACCTCAGCCTCCCAAAGGCTATTTTAAAAGTAATTTATTTATTATAGAGTTGTGGGGTACAAATACTGTTTTACTACATAAACAAGTTGCATTCAGGTGAAATTTGAGCCTCTAGGTGGCCCTCACTCTCTAGTAGTTTGTGTCATCACGTGCCTCCCCACACTCCTCCCTCCCTCTCTTCCCTAGCAGCGCCCAATGGCTGCCGAGTCCACACTTGTGGTAATGTGACTAGTGTCCAGGAACTACTTATAAGTGAGAACATGCGGTATTACGTTCTTTGTTTCTGTGATCATTCACTTAGTATGATGGTCTACAACTGCATTCAAGTTGCTGCGAAGGCCGTGATTTTGTTTTTCATCACTATGTAATACTCCATCACGTTTATGTACCACATTTTCTTTCTTTTTTTTTTTTTTTGAGTTGTAACCTCACTCTGTCACCCAAGATGGAGGACGGTGGCACGCTCCCGGCCACCACAGCCTCGACCTGCTGGGCTCAGGTCATCCTTCTGCCTCAACTTTCCAAGGTGCCCCAAGGAGTAGAATTGCTGGGTCAAGTGTAACTTCTTGAGGGTCCACTGAACTGCTGACTGTAGCCACAAGGACTTCTTTGTCATTTTTTCATTTAAAAAAATTTTTTTATTATGGTAAAAAAAATGTATCATAAAATTTACTATCTTAACCATTTTTAAGTGTGCAGTAGGGTTAAGCATATTTGTATTGTTGTGAAACAGATCTCCAGATTTTCTTCATTTTTGCAAACTGGAAACCCTGTACACACGAAGCACTAACCCCACAGTCCCCTTTAGCCCAGCCCCTGGTGGCCACCATTCTGCTTTCTAGATCTGTGAATCTGACAGCTTTAGAAACCTCATAGAAATAGCACCATGCGGTGTTTGTCCTTTGGTGGCTGGCTTCTTGCATTTAGTACAATGCCCTCAAGACTCATCCCTGTTGTAGCATGTGACAGGATTTCTTTCCCTTTTCCAAATTTTTTTAATTTTTTGAGTCGGAGTCTCACTGTTGCCCAGGCTGGAGTACAGTGGCATGTTCACGGCCACCGCATCCTCCACCTACTAGGCTCAAGTGATCCTTCTGCCTCAGCCTTCCAAGTAGCTGGAACTACAGGCATGTGCCACTATGCCTGGCTAATTTTTTCATTTATTTTAGAGATGAAGTCTCGCCAAGCTGCCCGAGCTGGTATCAAATCCACAGCCTCAGGCAATCCTCTCATCTCAGACTCCCAAAATGCTGGGATTATAGGCATGAGCCACCACACCCATCCTACATTTTCTTTAATTAGTCCACTTTTGATGGGCAACAGGGTTGGTTCCATGTTTTTGCTATTGTGAATAGTGCAGCGATAAACAAGGACCTCAAGCGAAATGACAGGAGAAAAAAAAAAACAACCCACCCCATTAAAAAGTGGACAAAGGACATGAATTGAAACTTCTCAAAAGATGAAATACAAGCAGCCAACAGACACATGAAAAAATGCTCAGTCTCATCAAAAAAGTGCAAATCAAAACTACAATGAGATACCACCTAACTCCAGTAAGGATGGTTATCATCAATAAATCAAAAAACAACAGATGCTGGCACAGCTGCAGAGAAAAGGGAATGTTTCCACCCTGTTGGTGGAAATGTAAGCTAGTTCAACCTCTATGGAAAGCAGTGTTGCAATTTCTTTTTTTTAACTATTTTTATTTTTTCTAGAAACAAACACTATGTTGTCCAGTCTGGTCTCAAACTTCTGGTTTCCAATGATCCTTCTACCTCAGCCTCTCAAAGTGCTGGGATTGCAGTCATGAGGCACTGTACTGGCCCAAAATGGGACCTTTTTTCATTTGACTATTTATTTATTTTATTTTATTTTTTTGAGTCTGTGTCACCTAGGCTGGGGTGCAGTGGCACACTCACAGCCACCCCAGTGTCAACCTGCTGACCTCCGACGATCATTCTGCCTCAGCCCTGCAAGCAGCTGGAACAACAGGTGTGCACTACCACACCCAGCTAATGTTTTTAAATTTACTGTAGAGACAAGCTCTCGCCAAATTACCCAGGCTGGTATCGAACCCACACACTCAGGCAATCCACTTGTCTCAGCCTCCCAAAGTGCTGGGATTACAGGTTGAGCCACCAAGCCTGGCCTCATTTGACTTTGAACACTTCTGCAGTGTTTGGACTTTTACGAGGAGCACGCATTACTTTTGAAGTTTCAATGACTGACTTTACCAAAAAATGAACCTATAATGCATGACAGGAGTGCTGCTCGTTCCTGACTAGTATGTAATTCAGATAATATACCACACCGAAAATTTGGCCTCTTGAGATCAAAGAGTAGCGGTTGAACAATGTCTATACTTCAAGTACCATAAGGAGGGGCTAGTAGAAGCCTTATCCTCACACCCTGATGAAAAGACCCACAGTGCTTCTAGTCCTGAGATGACCTACCCTGTCCTTGATGGAGTTATCAAGCCCCTACTGTGAAGCCTAGAGGTACAACTACATATCTCAAAGAGAAGTACTTTAAAAGTTGTCAGAGAGTCAACGATAAGGACCATCAAACCCTTCTGATAAGAGGAACGTATGTAATTGCAGTGGGTGAACCATTCTATTTAGATTCTGACTCATGATTGGAAATGGCTGGTCACCTAATTACAAAGTCTGGACTCCTGGATGATGAATTAGAGGCAGTGGCTTTATTTTATGCAAGTCCTACTTAACACTGCGTTGCCTTAAATAGAGTCCCTTTGAAATGAATCACACTGTACACTAGAGACTGGAAAAATAGATTACATTGAAAATGAATTTTTTAAATCCATTCTTTTTACCTCAGACTGAACTAGCCAAAATTTTAAAACTTGTATTCATGCAGGGCTCTCATAGTACTCTTGGCCTAAACTCAAAATATAGGCTACAAATCATGATATAAAAATGCTTTTTGTTAATTGAATTCTTTTCAAATGTGAGGTAAGAACATTTTACAGACCCACAAAACTAAAAGTGACTTTCAGAGGACGTGTAAGATCCCTCATCCCGATGCTACCTGCATGTACTTACATCCCTGAAACAAAGCTAGGTAACAGTTTCTTTCCTTCTTCCTTCCTCCCTCCCCCCTCCCTTCCTCCCCCTCTTCCCCCCTCCTTCCCTCCCTTCCTTCTTTTTAAAATGTTTAATTGGGGTAAAACACATATAAAATGCATCATCTTAATTTTTTTTCAGTGTTCAGTTCAGTAGTGCTAATTATATTCACACTGCTGGGCAAACATTCTCCAGAACTTTCTTAACATGCTAAACCATGTTATAAACTCTATACCCATTAAAAAAAATTTCCCCTCCCCACTACTCACTGCTACCATTTTACTTCCTGTTTCCAAGTTTGACTCCTCTAGATACCTCACATAGATCTAATCATCCCCTATTTTTCTTTTTGTGACTGGCTTATTTCATTGAAAATAATGTCCTCGAAGTTCATCCATGTTGCAACATGTATTAGGATTTCCTTTCTTTTTAAGGTTAAATAATATTCCACTGTATAAATATACCACATTCATGTTTATTCATTCATTTGTTGATAAACACTTAGATTGCTTTTGCCTCTTGGCCTTGGTGAGTAAGTTACTCTGGTCATAGGTGTACAAATTTCTCCGAGTCTATTTCAATTATTCTGGATATCAACTCAGTAGTTGATAACTGACATAGTTTTCCACATTATCTTAATTATTTATAATAATAATAGGCTTGTTTGGGTTTTATTTTGACAATGAAAGTTACACAGGCTCATGGCAAAAGCCATCAAAAGTGGAAAGTGAGTATGACCAGTAATTCCTCTACCCAGCAAAAGTTAATATTAATGTAGAAGTTTGCCTTCCAAACTTCATATTTCCTAATTTATTACCTTATAGTCAAAATATTTTAAAAGCAGCAAATATCATAATTAGAAATAACAACAAACTCAACTAGGAAAATCGCCATTGTCATTGCTTTTTGTCATG